TATATATATATATATTTTTCAATTGATTTTGCTACCTTTTTTGTGCAGGCATGGATGCATTAAAAAATATGATGCTTGAGTTTGACGGAGACAATTCGTCTTCAACTTCAACTTTTCTAGCATTGGAGAGTTTGGATTTACGAAACTGCCCTAAGCTGGTAGGGAAATTACCGAAATGCATTTCTTCTCTTAAAAAGTTGAAGATTTTCTAATGTCCAGAATTGAGGTACTCCCCACTTAGTCTTCCATCACTTGAAGAATTGCATATGGAAGAATGTAGTGAGGTAGTATTGAGGAGTATGGTCAATCTCACCTCCCTCAAAACATTGAGTATAAAAAAAATTTCTAAATTAACTTGCCTACCCAAGAGTTTTGTTGAGTCCATGATAGCTCTCAAGGATATAAGGATTGTGTCTTGCACTGAACTTACTTGTTTGTGGGAAGAGGGAGTCAATATCCTAAACCTTGCATGTGTTGAGAAGATAGAAGTCAATGAGTGTGAAGCGCTGGATTCCTTGCCTGGTGAGATAATGATGTTGCTGCGACTTGAAGAATTATCTATTGCTCAATGTCCTACTTTCCGAATGTTTCCAAGAGGCAAGTTACCCACCACACTTAAAGTTCTGGGAATTTGGGGATGTGAAAAGCTAGAGTCTCTACCAGAAGGAATATTGATAAATAATGGTGATGCATATCAAGTGTCGCAACTTGAAGTATTAAATATTTACAGGTGTCCTTGTCTGAAATCTTTTCCAAGTGGTCAGTTACCCAATTCTTTTAAACGGCTTTATATCCAAAATTGCAAGCAACTGAAGTCTCCCCCTCAAAGGATGCTGCAGTATTGTACGGAACTTGAAAGGATAAGTATTTTGGGAGGTGATATGAAAAGTTTATGTTTTGAGGACATGCGTGGGCCCACTTCTTTATCGATAGGCAATTGTGATGGTTTGGAGTCGTTTTCCCTATCCACCTCCAATCTTAAAGATTTATACATATCAAATTGCAGGAATCTCAAGTCTTTGCCTAACAAGATGCACGACCTCACATCTCTCAATACATTATATATAAGTAATTGTCCAGGGATCAAGTGCATTTCAGACAGTGGTTTGCCTCCAAACTTAACATGGCTCCAAATTGATGGGTGTATAGGGATTGAGTCCATTCCAGGTGGTGGTTTGTTTCCAAACCTAACGTCTCTTGAAATTGTCGACTGTCAAGGGATTGAGTCCATTCCAGACCGTGGTTTTCCCCCAAACGTTAGAAGTCTTACAATTGATTGCAAGAATCTGAAGAAGCCGATGCAAGAATGGGGCCTTAGCAGCCTCACCTCTCTTCTATTCTTGACGATTTATTGGATATGTCCTGATCCTGATGTGCTTCCCACTTCTCTAACCAGTCTTGTGGTAGGTAAGGTTGAAAATATGAAATCCATAGCTAGAGGGCTCCTTCAAAACCTCAACTCTCTTCAACATTTAACAATCAAGGATTGCCCAAAGCTGCAGTCATTGCCAAAGGAAGGCCTGCCTACCTCCCTTCAACAATTAAGTATTTGGAGATGCCCCAACTTGCAGTCCTTGCCTCAAGAAGGCTTGCCTCCCTGGCTTGAACAACTCTGGATTGGAAATTGCCCGTTGCTAAAACGACGATGCTTGGAGGAGAAAGGAGACTATTGGCCCCTCATAGCTCACATCCCCCGCATTGAAGTTCGGGTACTACTTAGCTATATTCTCAAATTTTCAGATAAATTTTTGTCTTTTGAGAATTAATTTAGGAATATATTTTCCTTTAGTATATCTTGTAACTTAATCTTTTCTAACTTAGTCTTATTCTTTCTTTTTAGGATGATGAAAGCCACACAAGTTCAGAGACAAAACAAAAGCTTTGTTTATGGTATTTCTTACAAAAATATTCCATCATAATCATTCACAGCTTTTTTTTTTTTTTTTTCTGTAATTGAATTTATTTTCACCCTCTTGTTAGAAACTTGGAAAATGGCTAATCTAATTAATCTCTTCTTTTGTTTTAGCTTCAAAACAGGATGACAATCAAATGAATTCAAATCTAAATAAAAGGTAATATTGGTTGTAGTGTTGTCTTTTCCTTTTTATATTTTTGTTAATGCCATAAATTCCTCATTTTTTTTGGTTTAGGATATGGATATTAAATGATAGAGAAATGGCCAATAAAAAATCATACCTGAAAGATTATATGGTAATCAAGAAAACTACTAAGTCTTATTCTTCCTTTTCACAGCCCAAAGCACTAGACGGAGGAGATCTCTGTATTTCTGAAGCTTAACATTTATGTCAGCTGAATAAATGTTGGTTTTCTGGAGATTGGAAAGTTGCAATCCTTGTATTCTGTGAAGACTCGTTGACTACTCTATATAAATAACTGCTTAGTATAAGAGTCAACAACATATCAACCCTTTCAGTTCATCTTTTGCAGTAAGTTTTAATTCCTTTGAGGATCATTTCATTGGATTCAATATAAATGTTTTAGTTATATACCTCTTTTCGTTAACATTGTTGCAATTTGGAAAAAAAAAATTGAAATTACCATTTTTTGGGTACATGCTAGCTCCAATACCTGATTGGAATCAAGTATTCATTGATAATTTCACTAAAAGGCTGTGTGGTAATCAAACTCCTTGGACTAGTTCTAACTCACTCAAGAATTCTTCTGATTGAGTTAATTCATTTTCTTGATCTTCCTTTTCCATTTTTCTATTGGGATTATCTAGATAGTCATGCTATTTAATTGCTCTACAGCCAGTTATGTGCGCTAAGATTTGAGTAAAGAGTTGGTTCTAAGGCTTAAACCTATCCTATTTGATGAACTGCATTATTTCAGATCTGATTATGGATCACTTGAACTGTATTGCTGAAATTTCATTTTTGCCAATGCCTCAGTATCCTTCAAACAATTAGTATCCTCGTCCTGGACCCTTGATGCTAGTTTTAATCTTGGTTTGTGTACTTCTTGGCATTCTGGCAATAGAAAATTTAATTTACCTTTTAGTTGTTGGTTAAATGAAAATAGTTATGTGCTCAGTGCAGTGCCCAGATCATCATTTCAAGAAAGGCATCATAAAAGAAGGGCCATGGAGAAGCCTAAGTGGATTCAATCATAAATAGGTTGGTGCTTGAGAAAGAAGGTATGTTGTGAGATAGGCTTACTTTCTCAAAGTTGCAAATTTTTTTGTTTTTCCAATTTCATTCAATTTTAGTTTCTCCCATGCTTTGAATTATGCTTAGTTGTGGTGAATTCATGCAAAATCTTGTATACACATTTGGTTTTTGTGTTTTGATGTGAATAAAAGGCATTCATTTTATAATACATTGTAATTGAAGTGATAAAGCATTCCATGTCATACTTGTAGGTTCATTTGCTGGAAGAAGATTAACAGGAGGGGTTCCTGAATATAAATGTTAGAATCTTTTATGGACATTGTATGGTTTGAGTAACAGGATTTTGTCCAATCTGATATACTTGAAGTGGCTCTTGACATGAGAAAGCAGTTTGATGCAGTGTCTTTTAGACTTTATCACATTAACACATTCCAACCATGCCTTGTGAAGATAAGGGATGGTTATTGAAAGAGAAATCCATGCAAATTCTAAGTAAGTTTAATGCTTAAATCTACCCTATTTGATGAGTTGGTTTATTTCCAATCTGATGATGGATCACTTGAACTGTATTCCAGACATTTCTTTATTACATATGCCTTTGTTTTCTTAGAACAATTAATGTTGCATATCCTGGACCCTTTATGCTAGTTTCAATCTTGGTTGGTGCTATTCTGACATTAGAAGAATCACCTTACCTTTTAGGTGTTGGTTAAAAGAAAATAGTTTTATTCTCTATGCAGTGCTCCAATCCGGATTTCAAGAAGAGGCATCATAGAAGAAGGGTTATGCTGAAGCCTTTAGTAGATTTGATTATGAAAAGGTTGGTGCCTCCATGAAAGGTATGTTCTAAGATATGATTAATTTTTGGAAGTTGGAATCCTTTTCCTAGCTTCAAGTACCTCATTTATTGTTTCTTTCTTTCCATTTCAAATAAATTGAAGGAGGCAACAGAGTACGACATTCTAAGGGGATCTTTCTACAATCTGGAAGAGGAAAAAGTTATAATTTGTGGAGATATTGCCAAGCTTGCAGCAAAGTTGTGCTTGAAATGCAAATAACAAAATCAATACAAATCAGTCTTGTAGACATGTTGTATGATTTCTCTCTTTAGATTTTTGAGAACTTGTTTTTCGTGGTTTAGGCTAAGAATCGATATGAAAATATTGACATCTGACAAGCTTGTAATCCTATTTTTTCTGGCTCAGAGCATGCTCTTCTGCAAAAGTTTCTTCTTGCTAGAAGGAAGAATTATTGTGCATTTCAAATTTTCAAGTTTCTTTCTACAAGGCTGAGTTAGTTAAAAAAAGGTAAAAATGATTTTAAGACATTAGATATGTTAACTGACTTGCTGCTTATTATCAAGAAATAGGTTTCTTTTTTCATGCAAATAGATTCCTTTTGTTATAAGAAGTTTAATCCTCTTTTCAATGGAAATGAAATTATGAAGTTGCTACCTCAGGCATTTTGAAAAAGCTCTTTTGTAACAAATCTTATTAATTTAATATTGAGGCTTTTTAAAATTTTATTGTTTTCCCATCTGACTCTCATTTGTGGTAAATTACTTACCAAAACATTAAAAAAATATATATATGTACTAAATTTTTGCAAAATCTTGCATATATATTTATTTTGGTTAAAACCCCTTTTTGGTCCCTGAATTATTGTACGGACCCCCGATTTGGTCCCTAAACTAAAAAAATTCATGATTTGATCCCTACTGTTTAATATTTTACCCGATTTGGCCCTTCCATTAAAAATTGTGTGACGTGGCCTGTTATTTCACGGTTACCGAATGACATGTCATATAGTAATCCACGTGGAAGATAATATAGCCAAAAAGTGATGACGTGGAAAAAATAATAATATAAAAAAATATTATGAAAAATAAAATTTAAAATTTTTTTTCTTTTTTCTTTCTCCTTCTCT